TATAAGGAGCACAACAAACAAATGAATTCAAATTAAACATTGATTATGTTGTAATTTGATGGCATATTGAATCAAACCATCCCCAGCTGATGAGTATTTGTTTATTATCTGCTCTTCCTTCTGTTTGTTGTTGTTACCCATTTCATTTAAGTTGCTCATCATAATTAGAGTCAACATCTTGGATCTAATTTAGGAGTAAACTATATTCCAGAAAGAAACAACAACTTTAAAATGAAGATGAACACAATAATATAAATTGTGTATATTTATTCTTGACAAAATCCAGTTATTAGTTTCTATGTTGTAAGTTTACAATTGTACATAGTGTGACACAGTAAATAGCTCCATATTAACAATAAGATTTCTGTCACAGTAGTTTCAGTTTTTTGGCTTCCTGTGTGCTTCTGGCTCACTTTACAAGAGTACTAATTCTTTGCCCTTTACTTGGATGCTTCTGAAAAACATGACTTAACCTTAGACCACCAAAATGTGTAAACATGGTGTTATGCTGTGCACACCAATATACTGTATGTTTAAACAGCATTTTAAATACAAAGCTTCTTGTTTCTAAATCGGTTCAATAGAACCTGAGCCTAGAAAACAAATGCAAGCAACATAATCCATTCTTTTTTGAAAGGTGTGATACCTGCTGTGTGTATCCTAGAGATACTGCAACATTTATAAATAGGTGTATACTTTACTGTAATAGTGCAAATATGTAAATATGCACTGTATATTTGATGTATACTGTACATGGCAATGTTTCTATTGAAGAAGCTATAGCCTTTTCCATCTTTTACTGTCTATTCCTGCAATAAATACAATGTATTTTAAATGTTTAAATATTTTGTATTGTTAATAATATTGTAGAATGTTCATACTGTATGGATTCAAATCTATTCTTTTCTTATAATTCTCAACACTTCTTTTCAATTAAGATAATGCACTGTGTACACAGAAATAGTTTTCCCATTCCAAACATGACTGGACAGATTGATTTTTGGATTATTTTTAACCATTTCTACTTATTTAGTAATTTTACTTCCTAATGCATTTGATACATCTTTGTCTGGTGCTTCATTAGCAGCCAGCATGTGACCTACTGTATAATTAAGACATTTCTGCATAATTCGACTGTTTTTTATTGAGGATATTTTGGCTGAAAGGGAAATACAGTATTTCTTTGAAAACACTAAACAATTCGCTGATGTGTCATGTGTAAAATGTAATGATTTCAATTATGCAGTAGTTTTTTGTTTTAAGCAATAAATTATTTAGATTTCACATCACATCATATGGACACTTTTCCTTTTATGTTCCTAAGACTGCTGTTTGTGTGCTACCATACTGACATTGATCATTCTTGTATAGCGAAACTGGAATGAGAAATAGTTGGTTTAAACATAGAGCAACTGGTATAATTGAAATATTTTTTTATTTTTAAAAACTTCAGTTAATGCGATCACTTGTGTATTTGAAAGCTAGAGATACATTTTAATGGGTCCCTTGATTTTTCCTATCAAGGAGATAAATGATTACAACTCATCCCTCAAGCTGTGCAAACCTCAGTAGACTGGTTCACATGGTTAATGTTCAGTATTGTGCATAAATAATCCTAATGGGAGGGCACAAGGATGTTTTAGGGAACAAGGCAGACAGCTACATGTACATTCCCATTTTTATCATGGTGCTGTCAAAACAAGAGTCAGTCCCTTACAGAAAAGTTCATCTTTCCTGGACATTACATACACCACGCATATTGAACTGCACTACACTCCAAATTTGAAATGTCAGGATAAGGATTCATTTTAATTAAGCCAGCAGAATTAAGTAGATTTTTTACATGTGGCCTACAGTGAATAAAGTCTTCAAAAAACCTACCACAATTAGTTTCACTGTGTCTCTTGACTAAATGGCTTAATTTAAGATTTAAATAAGGGCAGGATCTTTTCATTGTGAACCATAGTTTTAGGGTAAATAATGCAATAATGCATTGTATTATTTTGTAATAATGTATTATTGTAAATGTTTTTTTCAGTTACAAATTACAATTAAACAGAAGCATGGCATGTGCTTTCACTAACATTTAGTTATTATTTATTCTAATAAGCATTTTTTCTGCCTCTTATTTTAAATAATTTTTTTAGAGTTACTTAATTCCTGATACTCTATGTCTCATATCATCTGTGATAATGGCAATGTGCTGTATATTGGTTTGATTAAACAATTAAGTGTTCAAAACAATTTATTTATCTCTTTGAAGTTGCACGAAGGTCAAATTTGATTCTCACAATTTGGAGGTCGGATTGTACAGTAGTTCTAGAGCTGGTCTAATGCTCTGATCATTTAACATGAAAGACAATGAAACAAATATTTCTCTGGCAACTATCTTAAATGCTTAAAATTACTATTTAGTATTGTGTTTTTATTGTGATTGTTTTATCATTAGTTATTTGTCAAAGAAACATTATAATGGAGTTCAACGGGCTTCATCTTATACAGTACCTGCAGGAAAATATACTGTAGTACAGGAACCTAAAGCAGAACGTGGATTATATCCCTCAATGGATATTTACCCACTACTTTAAACAGGAGTCGAGAAAGGGGAAAAAAATGATCTTAGGCATTAGTGTCAGGTAATGCACATGATGTTTGTATTCGTATTCAACCCAGCAGTGTGGGATCCATTATCTCTTCATATGACCTCAGTGTGTTCTCAGGAGACATTAGATAGTCATTTCTTTTAAAATGAGTCTGCTTATCATGCAGGCCTTTGATCTCTTGAGGTCTAAAGGTAAAGGCTGTCTTATTCCGGTACCCATTACCTCTTGTCAGTAGGAGGTCCGGTGAAAAAACTGCAGTCTTGAGCTGAGCTTCTGCTCTCTGAATATATTCTGAATATAATAAATTAATTCTCAAATCTCAATGAAGTGGTTAAGATGTCACTAGATCAATGGTACTTGATGAAGTGCAATCCTAAACAATTAGGGAGGGCAACTTTCTGATTTCTAATAGGTTTGAAATCATTTCTTAGTCAGCCCCATTTAAAGTACAACTATTTATTTTATGTAAGACTTCTGCTTTTTCCTTTCTCCCCGTTCATAAAACATACAGCATTTCATTTTAAAAAACACAGTCAGGTTTTATTGTGGGGCGGAAGAGCAGATGGCCTGGTGAAAACATACTCAGTAAGAAGAGAACAGCAGAATACATCCTCAGATTGATATTCTTTTATTAAATTCCAAGAAAGTCCAATTAATTTATAAGTTTGTTTCCAAAAAAAACCCTTGAGAAAACTAATCCTTCCTTGAGATGTACTTGAGCATTGATTGTTTTCCAGATTTTGTTTACTGCTTTGTGTGAGTAAAATTAATCTTCATTTCTGTGTGTTTATATTTGGTACAGAAATTCAAATGGTTTTAATCTCTTGCAAACATCTCACAACTAGTCCAAACTGCTCATGAATTCAAGCAAAATGTACAAAGGAGTCAGAGGCTTCTGTTGATCATAATCATACCAGTGAACTATAAACATTTTTAAATAGAAAATTATATTTATTTTTGTAAACAGCAGTTATTTTGCTCAGTTAAAATCTTTTTACAGCTTAACAGTAGCATCAATACAATACAATATTAAAGCATATCCTAAACGGCATAATTTTAATGCATGCAAAACCCTTGATAATGTCTTTTTACTTTTGGTATTTTACATCTGTGTTGCAGATAATCATGCTCTTTACAGCTTGTTCCTTGCTCAATCTTTGGAAGAACTTTTTTTTTAAATAAAGTGAAATTGCACTGTAATCCTCACTTTTCTAGAGCTAACAGCAAAGCTATTTCCTAACATAATCAAATTGTTTTATTTTATTTATGTTTCCATTTCACTTGTGGCATTAAATAATCTTTTCTCTCTGAATATTTTATGGGTCTATATCCGAAGTCATCCGCTCAGTAATAATTCATTCCTGAAAGAAATTGTAGAGCTACTTAGAACAATTCATTTTTTAGTGTAGAACTGTGTTACCAGAATGGCAAACGTTCTTTTAATCTATTATTTCAACAACAGCAAGATGCCAGATTTTATTTTGCAACATTGTATTTTTTTTCTAAAATCGTCAATAAATTAATGTCATTTTTAATTATATCTGTTGTCTTAAAGAATCCTCTGACCATAAGGTCCTTTTATGCATGAAAACACGTGTCTTCTTCTTCTGGGCTTATGGATGTGTGTGTATCTACAGAATGAAGTACTACAAATGGCAAAAAATAATGTTCTAGAAAATTAATGTTATGTATATGTGAATCTTACAGCTTGTTATGGGACTTGTTGTTAATAAGATTACTGTGGAATAAACGATACTGTCAGGACAACAATCCAGTCATGGCTAAAAAAGACTAATTTTGCAAGTACGTTTTTGTAATAAAGAGCAAAATTAGATTCTCTTAGTACACAACCAGTGGTTAACCTGCATGGTTGGGTTAGTGTCACTGTCATACGGCTGGCAAAGGAATCCTACTCTGTTGGGACCCTGGGCAAGGCCCTTAACCCCAACTGCTCCAGGGGCGCCGTATAAATGGCTGACCCTGCGCTCTGACCCCCAGCTTCTCTCCCTGTCTGTGCTTAGGTATGCAAAAGACAAATTCCTATTACAAGGAATTGTATATGGCTAATAAAGTGATCTAAAACTCCTGTGCTGCTTCCTTCCAGGTTTTTTTGCCAAAATGTATGACTCTTGTGACAGCAGTCAAGGATGTGAGATACAGTAATTTTATCAGTAACAAAGTTAATAATGCTAGAAACAGAAGTGATATCTGTAGTATAAAGTATTTTAATTATTGTTATATTATATAACATCTATTATTAGACACATATCTCTAAATATGTTTGCAGAACCTTCCTATTTTAATGTCTCAATTGATTTATGCTCTTTTTCCTGTAATGAAAATCTCTTAATGTCCCAGTCAAGTCAGTCATTGTTTTTATTTGTTTTTGCTTTACAGGTGTTTGAACCCGACTTACAATGGAAAAACTGCTTGTCTTTCTGCTGGTTATTGGCATGGCAGTTAAGGCCCAGATCTGTCCAAAGCGCTGCGTCTGTCAGATATTGTCTCCCAATCTTGCAACTCTGTGTGCCAAAAAAGGGCTTCTGTTTGTCCCACCGAACATCGACCGGCATACCGTAGAGTTGCGCCTTGCCGATAACTTTGTCACAAGCATAAAACGGAAAGACTTTGCCAACATGACCAAACTGGTGGACCTTACATTGTCAAGGAATACAATTAGTTACATCACTCCTCACGCTTTTGCGGACCTTGAAAATTTGCGAGCGTTACATCTAAACAGCAATCGGTTAACAAGGATTTCTAATGATACCTTTAGTGGGATGTCCAAACTGCACCATCTGATTCTGAACAACAACCAGCTCACTGTAATCTTCCTTGGGGCTTTTAATGATTTGCTGGCTTTGGAAGAGCTGGATTTATCTTATAACAATCTGGAAACTATCCCTTGGGAGGCCATTCAAAAGATGATCAGCTTGCACACACTCAGCTTGGACCACAACATGATTGATTACATTCCCGAAGGCACATTCTCTCTCCTCCAGAAGTTAACACGCTTAGATGTTACCTCCAACAAACTCCAAAAGCTCCCTCCCGATCCGCTGTTTCAGCGGGCTCAGGTTCTAGCTACATCTGGGATCATAAGCCCTACCTCGTTTGCACTGAGCTTTGGTGGGAACCCACTGCACTGCAATTGTGAGCTGCTGTGGCTGAGGAGGCTCACAAGGGAAGATGACCTGGAGACATGTGCCACTCCCTCTCACTTGTCCGGGCGATACTTCTGGTCCATCCCAGAGGAGGAGTTCCTGTGTGAGCCCCCGCTCATCACTCGCTATACACATGAAATGAGGGTTTTGGAGGGCCAGCGTGCAACACTGAGATGCAAAGCAAGAGGAGATCCAGAGCCAGCCATCCACTGGATCTCTCCCGAAGGCAAGCTGGTCTCGAACTCTTCAAGGACACTGGTCTATAACAATGGCACACTGGACATTCTTATCACCACTGTAAAAGACACAGGATCTTTCACTTGCATCTCCTCCAACCCCGCTGGAGAAGCACATCAGACAGTGGACCTCAACATAATTAAGTTGCCCCACATTACTAACAGCACAAATAATATCCAGGAGCCAGACCCGGGTTCATCAGATATCTCAACTTCTACCAAGTCTGGTTCTAATGCAAGCACCAGTACAGGAGACTCGAAACAGAGCCAGGACAAACGTGTGGTCATAGCAGAAGCCACTTCTTCGACAGCCCTTATCAAGTTTAACTTTCAGAGGAATGTACCAGGCATTCGCATGTTCCAAATCCAATACAATGGCACCTATGATGAATCTCTTGTTTACAGGTAAGACACAGTATCCTGTTTCAAACTGAGACAGTATTCCCACTCATTGATCCTTTAATACACTGCGGTACACTTACTCTGGCATGAACTGGCATGAAGCTCACGCTGTTTTGGAAATTGTTGGTAACAAGAAAAGGAAATTACTTATCTAGATGTTATTGCCTAATGGTTAAGATTGTCCTTTATCCAAACATTGAATTGAGCAGGACCACTGAGGAGTAAGGGAATTGTGCAGTTGTGTGTTGTTTTAAAAACACTGTTTTTTTATATAAAAATGTAGTACATTACTGTACAAGAGACTAAAATACTAAATATATTTTTTTATCAAGCAGTGTTACTTATGCTTTTTATAGATGATGTGGACTTCATCAATGTTTTTCAAACAGTTATGCCATGTGGAGATTTAAGAGGACAAACAAAATGGTACAAAACAGTAAAGGTTTTTATTTCAAAAGAAGAGAAAATGTCTGTAAATTATGTTATGTGCTGTAAAGAACAACAATTAGCAGTCCAATCCACTGAACTTCTTAACGTTTTACAAACAGTAAAATCAAGTAAATGGACTGGTTATGTTATATTTATATAATGACTTGGACTCTTTAGGGATTGTTATTTTCTCTTATTTAATCATCAATCTTTGTTCACCAATCCATTAAATTGTGACGGTCTCAGATTGAGCAAATGATTGAAAAAATATGGTGATTAATTGGTAAATTCTGTGGAATAGGGGACAGAACTTGTTCTTTACTCACTTTATGAGTCCGGTTTTGGTAATTGTTTTAAAGCATGTATAATATTTTGAAAAATTATTCAAATTCTGGCATTACTAACACTGCTACTTTCAGGTTAATCCCTTAAATAATTTTCTGTTTTACTTTATTCAAAATATAAATATACATATATTTCATTTGCAATCTAGCCAATTAATTTTAATTGATTTACAGTAGTACATTGCAAAAAATGGTACCTTAAATCTTTTTCTGTTTATTTACTCTCTTGTTAGTTATTCAAAAACAAAAATGCAGAACGGTAATAACATACACGATTGCATTTGCTTGTGACGTAATTTCCAATAACTTTTAAAAGAGAGGTTTAAAAATACATGAGAGAAAGCTATAACTTGACATAATGGGTTTAATTGAACAAATAGATCCAATTATGTATAGCAATAACGTGTGTACAATTATTTATATCATGTTATTTGTTGCTGGGAGAAATTACTTTTTTGTTCTGACTGAAAGAAAATAAATCACTTTATTTATCATATTACATTTTGTTCCTATTTACAACAATTTGGCACAAAGCATACATAAAAAATAATGAAACGTTTCATCTATTTGATATTGCAATAGTCAAAGTTTTTTGCTCTTATAGAACATCAATATTGAGTTTCAGAACTAAGAAAACTGACTTTCAGTTTTTAATACGGCTCCTACATCACTAATTTGTCAAAATGCTTATAAAAAATTGAACATGCATGAATTTAAGAATTTTCTTTTATCATTCATTCAGATAGTACATTTTGTTTTCCCAAAATCAAATCACTGATAATAATAACAGGGAGTGCAAACCATGAAAATGTTATCTTTAGGAATATTATTCTTTTGGCTTTTTAAAAATGTCACTTTTTTAGAATATCAAAAGAAATACAGGCTATCAAAATGAATAGAACATGATTCTATAATTAAGGTATAAAGCTCCCAGCACACAAGTTCCATATGGTGAAAAAACTTAATTAATCCTCAGGCAATATGTATTAGTGGAACACATTAAATTTTGAAGAAGAAAAGTAGCATAAATGAGTTTGATCCTGGAACTTTAAAAATGATTTTGAAATTTAAAAATGCATGTATAGATGATTTCATGAACTGCATGATTTACTGTATGCCTTGTAACAGTTTTTGTAAGATGTGAGAGACCTAATGAGAACACATAGACCACAGAAAGCTTAAGGCCATGAGGGGTTGAAGCACTAAAAAGAGAAATAGCAATCTCAGTTTTCTAAAAGGGATTGGTAAACTAGCCAATCAAAAATCCCTTTCCAGTCAGATCTTCGTAAACCATTAAACATACTTGGTGACAACAATAAAAATACAGCTAAATTAAACATGTTTTACAAATGCAAATATTTTTAAATTTGCCCTCCATCCGTAAGTGTCAATATCTGAGCAGGTCGACTTACAATAACTACATTTGTTTTATGTGAAATACCTATAAGAACAGATGCTTTTTGGAACAGCATTTTCATTAGGGGGATATTAGGAAGATATTGATTTTACTGTACTGCAGTATTCGAACGTGGGCAGACCTCTTACTGGACTGGGTTTTATGGCCATGTGTAGATAAAACTATTATTTAATTGGACCAGGCAAAGCACAGTAGCACTCCCTTCCCCCTTAGTGTAGCACACCTGAAAAAGGTTCAAGAGATGAGACATTGTGTTCTACTGGAATTAACCTTTACTTGCTCATTTGCACTTCTCCATTATACATTCCAGGTTTACAATGTAATGGGTCTTTAATTGATTACAATATGCAATTAGAACTTTTTTCTATATTAAATTCAGGGTGTATGTGTGTGCTGACACTATCAGAGACAAATATAAATACAGTAAAGCTTCAAAGCCTCAGACAAGCTCATCATAATACTATGCGGTTTTTTTATGAGTTAGCCATGCACAGATTAAGATTAAAAAAGAGTTTTATGAATTGGTTTAATAATTTTTGAGGCTACTATACAGGCACAATGATTAAATACTGTGTAGTACAGTTATTAGTGTTGAAATTGTATGTTTTAATTAAGGTGTTAATGTTTATACAGCTACACATTTCACTGAAATGTATTAAGGCTTATGGATACCCCATGTTTTTCAGTCCTGGAAATTAATAAATAACCTCATTGCTGGTACATTTATAAGCATACACTTTCATGTATAGTATATATCTAAAACAAGGTATAAAAACATGACACATTCCATTGTCTAGAAATACAAGTACCAGGAAAAAAAAGAGTCCAAAGCTGAATACTGTAGCTATGGCACAGCGTGACCTTTAACACACGTGGCAGCATGCTTCCCACTGTGCTCTCCTGTCACCATTGCCGTGGAGTTTTCAAATTACAATACAAGAATACATTGCACACTCTGAACAGGCATGGATACATGGCTTTGTAAATTTCTCATTAAAGGAGTTTAAGGTTTGACTTCTGGCTTGTCCAATCAAGCAGATTCTTTGCTATTCTTGGTGTTATTATCATCTTTCGAGGCATTTAAAATTCACCTGTTTTCAAACCAATAGTTAAGATAGGGATCTTCAGATCTTGCTTTTATAGTGTAATGTAAATATAAGGGAAACCATTCAATTACAAAAAGCTACTTCTCAGATCAACACTATCTGGAAGGCACAATACTCATTTAGGGGTGCCAACTGAACAAAAATCATGCTTAACTATTTAAAGCAATGAAACAGGTCCTGCTTTTTGTCAATCAAACATAGAGAGAATTACTGCAATCTACTTTAGAATAATATTTTAATGGTAAAGATGGTCATTAAGCAACTAGGAGATTGTTCTTCATGACTTACAACAGTACATCCGTGGTTTGGTTTCACACAGTAATGAGCATTCCTGTCCTTCAGTTTTAAAGCAAAAATGAATTCATGTGTGATACGAGAGAACACTAAATTGCTTCTCCGCTTCTTCCAAATAATTAAGAGTTGAGATTTTTAGACTATTTTTAGCTCTGGAGATGGAAGCTTTGGATTGACTTTAAAACTCTAAATGACATTTTACATCAGTGCTCTTTATCTCTTTTACAGAATGATTCCTCCGACAAGCAAAAACTTCCTTGTGAACAATCTGGCTGCAGGAACCCTGTATGACCTCTGTGTCTTGGCCATCTATGATGATGACATCACCTCCCTCACGGCAACCAGGGTTGTGGGCTGCATCCAGTTCACCACCGAACAGGAGTACTTGCGCTGTCACTTTATGCAATCACAGTTCCTTGGTGGCACAATGATCATCATAATTGGTGGAATAATCGTAGCTTCTGTTCTTGTGTTCATCATCATCCTGATGATCCGCTACAAAGTGTGCAACTCCGGCGACCCCAGCAAAGCCACCAAGGTCAGCAACGTCTACTCACAAACAAATGGATCTCAGCCCCAGGGATGTGGAGGGTCAGTTCACCCCTCCGTCTCAAAGCAGGCCTTGGGGCAACAGGAGAGTGAGCGGTGTCAGAAGACAGTCCCGAGTGACACAGTGACACACTCCTCAGAAACTTCCATTCCTGATTGCTCCACCACTACCTCTATGGCAACCCAGAGTTGGACCCCGGGCTCGACCGGTTCTCTAAAGCCAAAACGCAAGGCGGGGCCAAAGTCATCTGCCGAGCCCAAGATCGAGGCTCTCCCCAGCGCGGAGACGCAGAACACCAATCGGAATAATTCCACGGCCTTGCAGCAGCCCAGCCTCCCTCCTCCCGTGCAAGCCAAGGAGACGCCAAGCTTCAGAAGAGCACAATCCAAGCCCACTAAATATCTCACCTTGCCAACGGATGGTGTGAAGGCTAAAAGAAGGTTGTCTCTAAATGAAGACTTGTCTAAGTATCACTGCTACATTGGTTCTCAAAAGTTGGGGAATTTGTGGTCTAAGCGGAGCCTGTCAATGAACGGTATGCTTCTACAGCTGGATGACTCAGATATAGATAGTGGGAAAGTGACATTTTCAAGTTCGGAGTGGATACTGGAAAGCACTGTGTGACTTTTTTTCCTTGCATCATTTTTTAAGTCGTTTTTTTTTTCAGAGCCAACAGTGAGTGAGTGGATGCTTGCCTTGTAGGAATTTGGAATTCCAAACTTGTCTCAGCTGATAAATGGCATCTCCAGCAGAGCTGTGAACAAACAACACCATGCTCATGTGGCATTGTGACAACAACCATACAAAACATTCCCAGTTATAAATAAATAAATTACTCCAGCAAGAGGAATGCACTACTGCCTTCCCTTGCAAACTAATTGGCTTCTTATTTCTGCAGTAGGAGGTACCAAGAGGAAATGGAAATATGTCTATCTGTTGGGGGTGTGGGACTGGGTGTTCGGTGGAAAGATTTCACAAAAAAGCCTTTTTAAAAAGGAAATTAAATTTCCTGCATATAATAGAGAGAAAAATAGACTTATCAGACCTCTTATTAAATTGATATTTTTTAAAGAGAATTTCAAACTTTCGTTTCAGTGACATTGATATGCCTTTGTTTTCAGGCAAAAAAAAATCCCTGTACAGAAAAAAAAAAACAACAACATTGGCTGTGTTGTTATGTTGTGTAAAATAAAATATGAAATAAGTATACTCAGAGGTTGTCATTGTGGTAAATGAATAAAATATAGCGACCAACTACTTGGTATCATCAAAAAGGCCAGCACCTGCAGACTGAAGAAGAATTGTGTTAAAAAACAGTGTTAAATGTGTTGAATCCTTGAAATCATGAAGTGCACTTAGTTCATCATCTTGGAATTAATGTTCTAATTTTTGAAAATTAACAGGTTATCACTTATTTCCAGCTGGATCAGAAGTTTCATCATGCCATATTCAGAAGAAATATTTTACATCTATTGTTAAACATGTGTGGCTATAAAATATCTTTCTGTGTATATTTGTTGGTTTTCATATAGTGTGTGCTGTGTTTCAAATGTAAAACTGAAAGAAATATAGAGAATACTACTGAAACAAAGACTGAGTGAAGAAACAACACTCAATGTTGAACATCATTTTTTAAGGCCATGAACATTCACAATCACTGCTGAAAATGACTGAAAAAGTATTTGATTTGTGAAAAACAATGGCTTACACATTCTTGTTCTTCCAGGCTTACTTTTTCAGTCCCTCGGATTTCAACAACATCAGTCTTGAGAAGTTTAAATGATTGATTTTGAGCTGAGAATTTCCAAGCTAGGAAATAACAAAAATGTTGACTCCCATCCATGGCTTTATTGAATGAATCACTGCAGCAAAAATCGGTGAGAGAACAAAAGAAAGGTTTCACCAGTATATGCATTTTAATAGTGCAGTCATATGTCAAGGAATCAATTAAATATCGTGAGACAATTTTGTTAAATCAGAAATACAGCATATTATAAGTTATGTAAACTATCAGTCCTAAATAGTGTCTAATTGGTTTTATGGAAGACAAGCAAATTAATGGAGATTCAGTGTTTGTGGAATTACCAAGGGAGAACATTTTTATTTTCCCATGTGTCTGAAAATCAAGGACTATATTTTAAATCAAATGCCTTTTTTGTGCGACATTATAGCATCACCTTATATTTAAAAGATTACGTGCAAGTTAATTCTAAAATATATGTACTCACATTAACAATACTAGACACAAGGTTGTGATTTACTTTTTTTGTTGTTTGTTGTGTTTCTTATGATGTACAGTACAGTATATATTTTCGTGAGTACAACAATCAGATGTCAGCTTACTAAGTCCTTGAATTGTTTCAGATGAAAAATGTTTCAGTTTCAATTTTAACATCATGACCTTCTTTTTAACACCTACTTTTAGAGCATCATCTTTGTCTTCAATGTTTTTTTGCTTCACTCCTGTGTTTAACTACAACAAAATGAACAGCCAACAGTGATGATAATGCTCACTTAGGCAGCTTAGATGACCTTCCTGTGCCATTCTTAAGATTTAAACTCACTTGAGTATAAGTAGCTTTGTGAGGATCACTCTCATTTACCACATGGCATTCGTAGGTCAGACTTTTAAAACATGTGCTTGCAAGGACTAGGGGGCTCAGTTACACAGACCCTTCTGTTACTGCCTTTTGGTCTTCTAATTTGAAACCCAGATTCGTATGTATGTATGACTGAGGTGGTCAAAGGTTTTAGGTCATTGTTTAATCGGTGCATGTACTACTAAAGACAACATGTTGTTTGTTAAAAAAGGTGAGTGACCAGAAGAAGAATTATACAGAACCTTAGCTGAACTTTCGCAAACGTCGATCACACAGTGGTTGTACAAGGGCAATGCCAATGCAGTTTGTCATCGCAGCAAATAAACAAATTCTCCAGGTCCTGAAACCTATTTCCTGAAAGAACCTGACTTATTCACGTCCTGTCTGTCAGCTTGGTGGAACATCAAGACAGTTATAATATTGAACATTTTATTTAAACAGTTACAATCAAAACATTTAACTAAATCTAATGTTTTGAAAAATGATTTTTTTTCGAACGCATTTTTTCGAGAACGCGAAAATGTGGAATTCAAATGAAAATTAAACTTAAAAAGAACCTGGAAAAATAAAAATGTTGGCAGAAGATTTTATACTGTCTGTGGAAGGTATTTTAACTGAAGTTCAGGGGGCTGGTTAATAACAACAAGTCAATGTCACACGGCTGCATCTACTGTATACACCGTCACCACTAAACTAGCTACATAAACTGAACTCAAATACCTCCCTTCTTGCAGTGCCCCTTGGCTCTCTCAGTCTGAATGGGGTTCGAATCCAGTGGGATAAGTATTCCACTATCTCACTAAGTATTCCAAGCATTCACAAAGCATTCAATCACCGGATGTTGTTGTCCCTACTGAGCTAGCTGTTAATACAAGGAACTGCATTTATTGCTTTACTTTTAAGAGTCTGACATCAGCAGATGTCTGTATGAATGATGGACTCTCCTAAGCTGCAGTCTTGTTCCAGAATATTGTCCTAATTTAAAACGAAATGTAATTTTTCTTCGACATAATGGGATGGTTTGATTTTATGTTATTATCACATACTGTACTGTAGCTAAGGCACACCAGAAAAGCCAACAGCATTAACAGACACTCACACTGTACTTCAATCACGTTGTTTGCAAACTTCTGTACATTAACACAATTAAATGTATCGGTACATTTGTGCATCTCAGAAGGTTTTATGAGTTGTGGAGTTTCTGTAAAGATGGACACTGAAACGCAGAATGTTATTATGAAACTATTTATTTTTTTCATCAATATTTTAAAACATTAGGTTTTATTTCTATGAGAAGAAAATGTAAAAGGAATAAACACATTTTGACAATACACATTGAAAATAGAAAAAATAAATTCAAAATCTTCAAGGGCATTGAGCTCAACCTGTAAAACAAAGTCAAACCAAACCAAAGACTTTTCAGAATGGACATAGAAGCACAAACTACAGGACACAGGTAGGAGCTACTGGTGGAGGTGCATTTTAAACAGAGAACAGGAGGCATTTATTTACCCAGAGTGTTGTGAGGGCATAGCACCAACTACCCAGCCATGTTGTTAAAGATGATACCCTGGTTTCTCTCAAGAAAAGATTGGATGTGATGCATGGATTAATTAGCTACTCACTACCAAACGTGCAAGATAAGCCAAACTCTTGTTTGTACAGTAACTGTTCTTATGTTCTTCTTAAGATTTCAATTCAGTTCATTGTGTGTATGTTTTGCTTAGGCGAGGTTCTTTTTGGTGCCATCTTTTTCATGCCTTATCACAAGTGCAGTCCACCCAAAAGTCCAGGGTGGATCTACAACCCAGAGATACTTCTCTGCGCAGTACTGCTGATTTGCTTCTTGCACATCGTGTGCCCAGCTGCTGACTTGAATCATGTGCCCAGCCGCTAACTTGAAGGTGTCAAAATGATTCCAGCTCTGCTCGTGGGCCGCGGCCAACAAGAAGAGGATGGTAATAGGATTTGAACAAGGACCTCATAACCCCCCGCCTCTTTCACGGTTCTTGTTAATCCTCATGTGTAAATGTGGAAATCGGGAGAGAATATATTCCTTTGAAGACATACAGTTAATTAATCCTCACATTAATTAAACAAATTTAATATAATTTAAATATGAGTATGAAATGGTTTATATAACGATCATTGGCTAGCACTGAGAACAGACTACTACTACTACTACTACTACTACTACTACTACTAATAATAATAATAATAATAATAATAATAATCAGTTATCAGAAAACCAATGAAATTTATTTTAAGAAATACCTGGTATCGTTTCTCAATGGGAATCAGGATTTCCCTGAAGGTTTTGTACTGTATATATCTGCATCTCTGTCCCATTATGGAAACTGTTTTCTTTATGATAAAGAGAAAGAATATTAAGTGCTAATCTAGGATTGTCATTCCTGGAACCATAGCTGAATTTTTTGATCGCATATTTTTGATTTTATGGGAACTGGAAAGCTACCAGTTCTAAATCCCAGCTTGAGAAGAATTAATTCCTTAATGCAAAGAGGATTGCACACATTTGTTTTAATTGAATAACAGGGGGGCAGAAGGAATTCAGTCATGTCAGAATGAATGCCAGTCCCCGATTCAGTGCCAGGGGATCTTTACTGTCTATAAGGTTGATGGCTCAAAAAGAACTGTGCCCTTAATCATGCTTGATGCTGGGTTGCTTTCAAGCCAAAACGAGTGATTGCTCCCCAGTGCGCTGCTTGTCTCACTTCCTATAACTTCTGATGTGCTGCTCAAGCCTCATGCTGTATAATGTCTGCTGCCTTACAGAATTGCATTCCAAGACAAATCTGACTACAGAGCACGACTCACAGCATGATTTCTGAGACAGAAAAAAAAATCTGATAATTATACTAAGTAGATAATGACAAGAATGGTCATATACATAAATGATTTAGCAGTGGTGTCATTTTTAAAAGAATCATTCATGTTGATTTATTCGAAAAATAACGAGAAACCCATGAATGTACAAGCTAGTTGAATGATATGCATACGTTATACAGTATATTTACATGCGCATCCTGTATCAGACAAAGCCTTTTGATTAAGATCTGACAAAAGGAATGATTATAATATAGAAGTAGCTGCCATGGCAATTCTGACTTGATTGTTTTGGGAAGGTTAATACATTCTCCTAGAAATGGATCACCTTTACCAAGTCCTCCGTTCTTTCTTTTTTTTTTAGCAACCAGTGAAGCTTGTCAACCAGACCATGAATATTGACACACATGCACGCACACATACGGTATACGTGTGTGTGAGTATGTGATTGATGTGGCTCTGCGCTATCGCTGCTGGGACTCAGTCACAGACGTTGCAGGCTCAGGGGCCCACATTCCCTAGACAGTGGTGGGTTCCACTATGCTGAAAGCCTGGCTTATCTGTGGAGACGTCTGCACTGAGTTTCGGGGGGGTGATGTCACTCAGAGTCACAGTGGCACAGCTCTGCGATGAGCCCTGTTACCTAGGTTGCTACGCACACGTTCACACACACCTGTAAGAGAGCGCTAAGAGACCTAAAAGACAGATGATGGTTTTATTTTGTGCCTCATACAAATGTCAGGAGCACTGTCAAGAAGAAAAGAGAAACACCTGGCACAGGAATCAGCGGAAACGCTCGGCTGCCACTCACAAGGAAGAACCTGTGACAAGTCAGCGCCGTGTATTGAGCAACACTCTGCGTCTTATGGCCTGACAAGGAGAATCTGCCCGTCACATGTCACTGCTTGCTGTCACCTATTTCTTTCACGAGACTTGGGATGTCAAACATTAAAAAATCATTTTTTCAACAGTTTTCAAGCTGATACTCTTCAGTGTCTCCTACTATATTTGGTCTGACTGATTAATCAATTTAGGAACATCAGAATTTCCAAATTATTAAGTTATACATATGTTGAATTGAGGAACATGCAGTAGTTGCTTTAAATGTCTACCTGGCTGGATTGCATGTACTGTATATACAGTATAAAATATGGGTACTTATTAACCAGATGACTACAGCATTCCAATAATCATCTAATATACAGTACACTTGATACAACATACTGCATTCTAGATCACTGTATGTACTGTATAGTATAGATGATTTTAGATACTGAAGAGTCTTGTGTTATGACCATATCAAAGTTTATGCTTTATCTTGATGCACACCAACACCTTTTGTGAGAACAGTGAGAATGATGGTGGACTTTTCCAAGCTCTTTCTGCTGTAATTTGTGAATGGAAGGCAGCAGTGTTTCCTTCTGGTTTTTTGACTTACCAGAAAAGCCTCAACTGGATTTACTCAGTTTCTTTGCAAGGGCAAGATGCATTTTTCACCAGTGCACTCAATGTCATACTGTACTTAAAGCAAAGAGGACATTGAACATTCTGCATTCTGTTTTATTTTTGTCTTAAAGCCGATTGTGTTGTCCTCTGCCTTATGGAAACTCATACATAACAACGATCTGCTGCTTCAGATTATTTGCAATACTTTTCATTGTGGGGCAACTCATAACCTAGCTGCACTGATTTGTCTTAATGGCATTGTTATACTTTAATATTTACCCACTAAAATCCAAAGCATTCATACTGTATATTCATTTAATTACTATTGTTACAGAGCAGAAGTACTGTGGGAAAACTTACAGTATTCTGGTCTAACATACTAGGAACTATGGACAGGGCAGTGTTGTGAAGTGATTTTTACAGCTGTGTTACTTCTTGTTACTGAGCTCACAGGAATGGAAAACCATTTTCAGCTTCAGTCCATCTGTATTTACTTGCTTAAAAAAACAAAGCAAAATAAGAGCATTAGCTTGGATTTCTAACACTAAGTTGAGAGGTCACAGTTTCTCATTGACCCCCCCCCCCAAATCCTGGTTTAAAAAGAGATTGACAAAGGGGTTAATAGTGAGAGGTTTAGATCACTTTTACACTCTCAACTATCACATTATTCATCAGTTCATAATAACATATAAAATGACATTGTCTTTAATTAGGTTTACTTAGACATAGACATTTAACCAGGTCACTGTTTTCACGATTTGATCTAGTTATCGAAGTACAACTTGAACAAACCCAAAATACACAGCCATACTGTATAATCATGAATGTTTGCGCTACTCAGCATTCTTAAAAACATGAACTAATAAAGTCCATTTTCAGCATTGTTGGAAGGGGGTTATTTTTAATTCATGAACACCTTAAGTGACAAGGTTTGGATTTCAGTTCCTTGCCAGCAGAAAGAAAACCTTTTGCAGCTAATGAGCCTGCAGCTTGTTCATCGTGTCTCCATTCCCCATAGCTGTGCTGCTGTCTGAGCAGCAGTGAACTTTGCCATCAGGTATCAGCTTTTGTAAAACTAAT